TTCCTTCCTTCCTTCCTTCTATCCATCATTAGCTCCTTCCTGCCTTCTTTCCTTCCTCCCATCCTTCCTCCCTCCCTCCATCTTAATAAGCAGAAACAGAATCGGAGGTTTTGGCCTGCATTCCAGGACTACTTGGCTTCTGCACTCCACTCACTCTATCTGGGGCCTTCTATTTTATCTCCATCGGGAAGACTCGAGTTACTGGTGTCGGAGCGAGGCAGGAAATTAAAGGCCTCCGTTGATGCCTGTCAGTGTACAGTATATTCTTCTTGGCTTGTAAGGGGAGTCGGATTCCTTGGCACGGAGACTGACATGAGACTCGTTGGCCGTGTTTTCCTTTCTTTACAGAGGTCACAACGGCGTCCGGTCCTGTATCCACTGTCTGCGTTCAGATGTAAGTCGTAGCTTTAGGCCCTGGATCCTTCACTGGCGGTTTGCTGCCATCGTACAGAATTTTGGCTGCTGCCCAAGCATCGGATCCCTGCATATTAGCAGCCGTGTCTGTTTGGAGCTTGGCTTACGCCCGGGCAAAACCTCTCCTGCCTCTTTTCCCTTGGGTTTACTCAGTCCCAGGCTGGGGAGGGAGGTTCCTTAAAGTGGAAACAGATGGGCCGGCTGGAAGCCCAAACCCGCCAGCTTGAAAAGCACTGTAAGAGCTCTGTGTTTCTGAAGACACAAGGAGTTGGAATGCCATCCCTTCCCAGCCCTGGAGCAGATGAGTGGGGGCACAGATGCTTTCTGTGGGTCCCTGGTTAAGTAGGGGACGGTGTCTCTGTGTGTCCCATTTTCCTAACTTCTGGACAGCTCAGAGGCTTAGGTCTCTGGCTGTGGAGCCAGTGGGTGGGAGTTTGATTCTCCCCCACACCATCTTGACAGGGGCTGGACTTGATGATTCTGACGGTCCCTTCCAGCTCTGCTGTTTTAAGATGATGATGATGAATGGAAGAACAGGAGTGGACAAAGTATTACGGCCTGCCAGCTGCGTGTGGCCTAAGCCCTCCTCCCACCCATATCCCCCTTTCCCAGATTTCATGCTATCACTTGTCATGGTGCCCGCACCGATACCCGGTCACCACAGTTGTGATTACTGCCAAGGGACCCAGAGGGCTGAGCAGATCGAAAAATAAAAGTGAAAACCCAAAATGGTAAGTGACAAGTTTTTCTCAACCATGGTTTACATCACCATAGCCGTGCACGAGGAAGCTCAAGACATGGTTTTAAAAGCTCGCTGGTGCAAACCATGGTTTTAAAAGCTCGCTGGTGCAAACCATGGTTTTTACAAGCTTGCTGGTGCAAACCATGGTTTTTACAAGCTTGCTGGTGCAAACCATGGTTTTTACAAGCTTGCTGGTGCAAACCATGGTTTTTACAAGCTTGCTTGTTCCAAACCATGGTTTTAAAAGCTTGCTGGTGCAAACCATGGTTTGATGTGTCTGAGCTCAGCTGCTGCTGGTTCCAAAGGAATGAAGGGCAGAAGTAGCAACACCAGGTCTGTGTCTCAGTCTTCCTTTCTTTTTTCTTTCTTTCCGCCCTCTTCAGCACATTGTCCGGGTCAGGGTTGGTATCGGCCGGCCGGCGAAGGGAGAATCCGTGGAGCGGTATGTTCTCAGCAGGTTCACCAGCACCGAACGAGAGGTCTTACCCCAGATCTTTGAACAGTCAACCAAGCTGCTGCTTGAACACATCCAGGAGAGGCACAGAACCGAACCGAACCCCACTGTCTGCGGGGAGCCAACCAACATACCTCTCAAATCAGATGGTGCATAATGATCTTTGGACTTTGTGGGCATTCATGAGTCCGGTGAAAGCAAGCAAACAGTAGTTGTGGGGCTTCTTTCAAGGTGGGGGCAGGGAGTCCCTGTTTGAGTCTTATTAGTAGGTCGAAGATGAGTTATTCTGAAGTGGGTTCGAGCAGGAGACGCCTGGGACCATAGACACTGGCTGCACCAGGACCCTTGAAATACCAGACTGGGGATGGAACTTACAAGAAGATGGGAGAGTCCACACCTCAATACTCTCACCTACTACCGGACATTTTGGTGTTTGGATCTCAAGAAACCATCACGTTCATTTAGACAATAAACAAGTTCCTAGTTCTCTGGATTGTCAAACTTGAAAATTAGCGGGCCCTGTTTATTGCCATCTCTGATGCCAGGAGGGCAGACAATACTGCCAAAACATGGGGAACCTCTGATCTTCCAGCTGTTTAGCACTACAACCCCCATAATCCCTTTCCCCTTGTTACGCTACCTAAAGCAAATTAAAACTCAAAATATTTAAAAGGTTCCTCTCTCCCTGGCCTTCAGTTGTTGCCCTTCTGTGACGGAAGATCAAATTATTCAACATAATGTTGTTTTCTAGGGCACGGAGGCTTTCTGAACCCTGATGGCTGGTCCAAATGGAGCATGGGCTTTGTGGTGCTCTGGCTGGTCTCTTTGCCGCTCACCTGAGGCAGAACAGGTTTCTCTACCAAATAATCCCAGGGTTTGGTTTGGTTTGTAATTTCTGTGCACTCTGCCCATTAGCAGCTTCGTTTTGCGGCTGCTCGGCGGGAAGTCATCAGGTGGTCACAAAGGTCTGCTCAAGTCACACCTCTAGGAGAAGAACAGATTTTAATTTCTAGAGACAAGCTACCTAATGAATGTATATTTCAGCCTGTAGACAGGGATGGAGAAAGGGAATGGGGCAGAGTCTGTGTGGCGCCCTGTTAATAAAACGTAAACCTTCCCGGAGGCAAGACTTGCTTTCCAATTAATTTCATAAATCAAGGTCCCCTCCCACTATCCGCATACTTCCAAGGACCATTATGGGCTAGTCAGCTTTTCCTTTCGACAGCTGGACAGAGGATCTTGGAAAGGCAGAGATGTTTTCCTTTGTTGGAGGTGCTCTGGGCAGAAGTTGAACGGGCATCCGTCAGAGAGGCTGTAGCGGTACTGCCCTCGGCACGGGGTCAGACTAGATGACCCTCATGGACCCACCCAACTTTTCAACTCTGAGCCAGTTTCTGTCAGACTCGAGCAGATCTAAGGCTCTGTTTTAGCAGGCCATTTCACCCAAGTGGTTTCATTTTTTTTAATAATCATCATCATAATAATAGAAGTCCCTACCCTCGACTCGAGCAGATCTAAGGCTCTGTTTTAGCAGGCCATTTCACCCAAGTGGTTTCATTTTTTTTAATAATCATCATAATAATAGAAGTCCCCACCCTTCCTTGCCACAGGCCACATTCTTGTGGCCAGAAAGTAGCCGGCATGAAAATAAACGAGGCCTGTTCTTCTCTGCCTTATTCCTGCAGCAGTTCCTGCGCTGCTCGCTCAGCCACCGTCTCCGCCAGCCCGCAGTCCTCGGTGGCAGCTTCCTCAGGGGGTTTGGCCTCTTCCTCTTCTGCTCTCCATATTGTCAGCAAAGGCTGCAGGGAAGACACGGCAAACAGCCAGGAGATCCACGTTTCCCTGCCTTTTGACTTGGACCCACAGGTCGAAATATACGGGAAGCGCCGGGTTCTGCCTCTTTTCCCCTCCAAGCCCCGTCAGAGGCTGAATCTAAACATCATTTTCGTGGCTGCATTTCGGGACACCACACTTTTAAGAAGGGTGCCCACAAGCTTGAGCAAGTTCAGAGGAAAAACAACTACAGTGGTGCCTCGCTTAACGACGTTAATTCATTCCAGCAAAATCACTGTAGAGCGAAAACGTAAAGCGAAAATAAAAAACCCATTGAAACGCATTGAAAACCATTCAATGCATTCCAATGGGCTAAAAACTCACCGTCCAGCGAAGATCCTCCATACGGCGGCCATTTTCGGTGCCTGTATAGTGAGGAATCCGTCCCTAAGCACAGCGGGGAGCCAATTTAAACACCCGGTGGCCATTTTGAAAACCAGCCGATCAGCTGTTTTTGATTGTCGTAAAGCGAAAATCAGTTCCCGAAGCAGGGAACTGATCATCGCTAAGCGAAATTCCCCCATTTAGACCATCGTTTTGCGGTCGCAATTGCGATCGCAAAAACATCGTCGTTAACGGATTCATCGTAATGTGGGATAATCGTTAAGCAGGGCACGGCTGTATTATGATCCGGGGACTGAAAACCAAGCCTAAGGAGGAAAGACTGCTTAGCCTTGAGAAAAGAAGGGGAAGAGAGGAGAGCACTCGTCAAAGACGTGAAAGGCAGTCCTACAGAGAAGGGGTAGGATCTGTTCTCCATCATCCCAGAGTGCAGGACATGTAGGAATGGGCTCAGGCGACAGGAAGCCCGATTTAAGCTGAATATCAGGGAAAATGTCTTAACGGTTCGAGCAGTACAACAATGGGACACACCGTCTTGGGAGGTGGCGAGCACTCCAACGCTGGAGGCTTTCAAAAGAAAATTGGACCTCCCTCTGTCACATCTGCTCCGATTTGAGATTCCTGCCTTGAGCAGGGGGGTTGGACTAGATGGCCTTGGAGGCCCCTTCTGACTCCATCACCCTGTGATTTAAAAGCCAGCCCCACTAGTCCCTAAGGTCGCTTCCTGACCCTGCTCCCTGCCTTGTTGGCCTGCATTTCACGATCCCTGCCCTCTTCAAGCAGCCCCGAGTCCCGACTTTCCCCCCCACCCTGCCGCTTACCTCGGTGGCGCTCGCGTAAGGGCGGACCGTCTCGGCGCGGATCTGAGAGAACATGCTCACGGAGGGCATGCTGTGAGCCGGCTGAGGTTTGGGGACGCCCAAGACGTAGTGCGACATGAGGCGGGAAGCCTTGAGGTGCCAGCCGCTGGCCTTGCTGAGAGGGAGAGAACGGGACCATCTCAGGAGAATCCGAGGAAACTACTCTGAGCCGGAGACGCTTACGGGATTGTAAAGCCCAAATCGGGCCAAATCTCTGCTTAGGTGGAATTTTAAGATCAATCCCCCACTCATGGCTGCGCATCAGATCCCAGACCTCTAAGCCTGAGCATTTCGGCTACTGGGGCTCCCGATATGGCCCTCGAGGGTTCCCCCCCCAAAAGAAACCCAGCAGAATTCCCCCTTACATTGTCCTCTGATCAATCCCCCGCTTCCCACCTCACCTCTAAAAAGTTGGAAACATCCAAGGAATGGGAGACAGGGTCGCTCCATGGTTTGAAGCACCCGGTTGCAGAGCCAGGAGTTCGAAACACCACGGTGCTTCTCCCAACAGAAGGGCTAGTCAAGATTCCCCCAGGAGCGTGTGGGGCCGGCGAGGTTACGTTTTTGAATGGCTACGCAAGACTGGTGCCAGCTGCACAGAGATCTTAGAGCCACCCGCCCAGGAGGAAGAACTTGGAAACCATGTCTGGGAAGAGTCACTGCAAGTAGGAACCCACCTAATGGACCATTGTTATAAGAATCATCTTCGAACTGCAGGGCTGGAAGGGACCCCTATAGATCATCCAGTCCAGCCCCGGTAAAGGAGGCCCCGTGGGGGGAATCGAACTTCCAAACTCTGGCTCTGCAGCCAGAGACCTCAACCGCTAAGCTCTCCAACAGCTCCAATTACTATTAGCAGCAATTAGCCTTTGTCCGTTAGCAGTGGTTCCTACCCCGTGGGGTCCCACTCTCTCCCTCTCTCCCTCACCTTTCCTCCACACCAATCAGTCTGATCGCCTTGCTCTCCACCGCACAAGGCCGGAGAGCCTCGTTGGACTCGATGCGGGCAATGGTACGGTTCAGGAGATTCAAGAGGCCCTTCAGCGCATCGTTGCGTTGCAAGTGGAACACCACACCAAAGTGGCCCTCCTCGTCTTCATCTGGCCGTATCTGGGGGGGGTGAAAGCAGTTGAGAAAAGCAGCCGAAACAACAGGCGTCAAGACCTGTGGGCGACCGATAATACTGCCAACAAAAGCTGCAATTAGAAGAGGTGCAATGGAACCCCCTGGTGCAGTCGACTAAGGCCGTTTCACTGTCTTACACGCCAGGGAGGGATCCAAATCTCACCGCCAAGATTTCCTTCAGGGCCTGGACAGTGTGTCGGAGCACTTGCTCTGCACAAGTTCTCCGCTGCTGTTCATCTTGGAAGGACTGCACTTGGTCTTGACGCTCAGCTGTTTTTCGTGTTACCTCCTCCTTCAGCATTTTCAGCTCCTCCCTGGATGAGAGGCGGACAAATGGGAGAGAAGAATCAGTGGAGGTACAGAAGGACTGACCCCACCCCCCAATATCTGCGGGGTTGGTAACTGCGGTTTCCTTCGTCTGTGGTTTGTAAATATTAAAAATATTAAAAGAAAAAACCCAGAAATATGTATTTTCACTGTGTAGTTACCAGAACAGGCCACTAGATGGAGCCAAAGCCATGGTATGTAGAGGATTTGCTATTACAGTGGTGCCCCGCATGACGACGATAATCCGTCCCATTGAAATCGCTGTTTAGCGAAATCGTTGTCATGCGAAAACCCTTTCCCCATTGGAATGCATTGAAACCCGGTTTAATGCATTCCACTGGGGAGAATACCTCCTCGTCTAGCGAAGATCGCCCATAGGGAAGCCATTTTGCAAGCGCCAATCAGCTGTTAAAATGGCTGCCCTGCAAAGCATGGGTCTGGAAAAAACAGGACAGCCATTTTGCGAAACCGAAAAAAATTGTCGTCTTGCTAACAAATGGTTCACGAAGCACAGACCTAATTGGCGTCCAGCGAAAATCCCCCATTGGAATGACTGTTTTGCGAATCGCTATAGCGATCACAAAAAGTCATCGTTATGCAGATTCATCATTTTGCGAGGTCGTCGTCTTGCGAGGTACCACTGTATCTGGGATTTTCAATATCTGCCAGAGGGTTGGGGCTCAGAAGTGATTCCCCACAGATACGAGGATCCTACTGTATGTTGGTGTTGGCAATCAGTTTTTGTTGTCACTCTCGCAATTAGTTTAAGGAGCTCCATGCCCCAAGATATGGGGGCAATGGCCACCAGCTTTAAAAAAACTGGAGAAGAAAACCATTTGAACAAAAGCCAAGGTCCACCAGGCTCCCCAGTTCAATCCGGGTCCACACCTACACCCAGAAACATATTCCTATTTGAATTAACTAAGACAAAGAGATCAGAGCCATGTTGGGCAAAAGGTTTTGAGAGTCAGAGCCCACAAAATGAACACCCAAACCCTCTGGGCTTTCTCCGTCTCTCGCACACTTACCTGAGCACCAGATTCTGCTGCTCTAGTGCTTCGCTGCTCTGTTGCGTTTCAGCCATGGCCACCTTCATCTGCAGGTATTCGTCCACCTGCGCCTGCAGCTCCTTGCACTTGTTGGTGAGCATCCAGATGATCTGCGCAGCATAAATGGGAAAGACTTAGGAACACGCAGAGAGATTGGCAGCTACCAACAAGATGTAAACAAGGCTCCGTCAATTAAGCAAACGCCAGCCTTAAGCCCCTCCTTTGAAACATACAGCGTTACTATCAGCTCCAGACCCACCAGGAGACAGCAGAGACTGGGAGCTAATGGGAAGCCTCTGGTGGAGAAGCAGAGCAGGGTGGTGCCTCCGATTTCACCTGGGAGTTGGGGGTGGTGGTTTTAATACACTCTGGTTTTTTGTCTGAACTTTAAATGCGCTGTCCATAGGGATGAAAAGGCAGGGCAGATCCTCCACGCCCATGGAATCAGGGTCACCTGCCTGGCGGATATGGACCCACAGCAAATCTTGTTATCCAGCCAAGAGGGAAAGGAACAATGTTGGGAGATTCTGCTGGAAGCGCACCTCTTCTCCAGCTGCCTTTCTCCTTAAAAAAGGACCCAAGGCCGCTTTCCGCATTCAAAACACAGCATTAAAAGCTAAAAACAGTAAATCATTCCAATACCAAAGAAGAATCTGTAATGTATTAAAAATGTTAGGTATGACCAAGAGGAAATGAGTGTTTTATACACTTTGCAACTGGCTGTGCTCCCAATTTTGCAACCAGTGTACAGTATGTAACGCCTCACAAGACAACTCGCGAGAGGTGGGGACAATGTTCATGTGGTTACTCTTGTCCTCCATATTTTCACAATAAGAACCCGGCCGGTGGTAGTGAGAAAGGGTGTTTTTGATGGCTGCCGCCAAGCTGTGGAACTCCCTGCCACAGGAGGCTAGGTGTGCCCTTGCAAAAGGGTCAGAAGACGCTCACCTTCTGGTTACTCAAGTTCTTGGTGGCCATCTTCTTCTCGTTCTCCTCCAACAGCTCCAGCTGCTTCAGCGTCTTGGCCCGGGCTTCCTTGAGACGGTCGTTCTCCTGAATCAGCTGCAGGCTCTGCTCGGTGATTTTGGTGAGCTGAAGGCTGAGGGCCACGTTCTCCCGGATGGTGCGCTTGGTGGTCTCCGCCATCTGGCTGTGGGCCACCTTCCGGAACTCCACCGCCACCGCATTCACGCGATGGAGCATATCCTTCTTCAACCTGGATGGGGAAGAGAGGAAAGCACGGCCGGTTTCCGAAGGTCGCCGGTGGCTCTGGAAGAAGTCATTTCTTCCCGTTTTTGGCACAGGTTCTAATGTTGAATGAGGAATTCATCGCCAGCCCCTGTCGCGGGGTTTAAAAAGCGGCTTGGTGGCATCGCCTGTTTCGTGGCTCGTTCGCGTTCTCATTCCCCGAACAAACAAAAACCTTCGGGATTGAGAACGGACAGGTGGAAAACTTAGAAAATTCCCGGTAAATTTTTTTTTAAAAGGGGGGTAAAAATAAAAACGGTTGAAAAGGAACTAGAAAACATCAGCCACCCCTCCTCTAAAGCAATTTCCCTACTCAATGGGTTAGTTCTGAAATGCTGACTTCGGTTTGGCATTGTAGAGAACTTAGAAAGTTACTTTTTTAAAAAATGTGTTGACCCTGCCTGTGACTTTAAAAAAAAAAAGCATTGATAAAATCGAGTGGTAAATGTGGCCGACTCTGTTATTTGCTTGCCTCGATCTTTGTCCTGCACCCAAAGGGCAGCTGGCAAAAACAATGGCCCATTAGGCGCCACTTGGTACCTCTCTTTATCAATCACCGCCTTCTTCTCCAAGTTGTACATGGTGTCCCTGTGCTCTTCCTCCTGCTTCTTCAGTTGTACCTCCAGGTCCGCAAACCGGGCCATGATCTCCTCTCTCTGGATTCTGAATTCCTCCAGAGCAGCCAGCTTGGCACCTGCGCCAACAGAGGGTCCCCCATCCTTAGGCAAAAAATAAATAAATCCCAAATCCTACAATACCTCTCTTTATCAATCACCGCCTTCTTCTCCAAGTTGTACATGGTGTCCCTGTGCTCTTCCTCCTGCTTCTTCAGTTGTACCTCCAGGTCCGCAAACCGGGCCATGATCTCCTCTCTCTGGATTCTGAATTCCTCCAGAGCTGCCAGCTTGGCACCTGCGCCAACAGACGGTTCCCCCATCCTTAGGCAAAAAATTTTTTTAAAAATTCCCAAATCCCACAAACACATCTCCCACCTCCCTCCTTTAGATTGAATCACAGACAGTGGGTTTCAAGGGGGGTGAGCTGGGGAAGAGAGAGAAAGGGTGATGGGAACCCATTGTCTTAAAAATTTCACAAGGGTTATTGTTGCTATATAGATCCTCTTTGGCAAAGTGCTTGGAGTTTTCTATAAACAACATAGGGTGTTCTGTTTAAAAGACGTGTGCGGAGTGGCTTTGCAAGACCTCAGAAAAAGTCCCAGACGGCTTTGCAGAACCTTAGCTACCCAAGTAGCGGGGAAATGTCTCCGATTCCTCCACTCGCCTGCCCAAAGTGGATCCGACGGTGCGCCTGGCCACGAGCAGCCACCGGACATCCATGCCGCTGAAAGTAACTAAATATTTATATAGTAACTTTAAAAGATACTAACTCTGCAGAAAGCCCCAAGGAAATGTAACTGAAAATGTGGATTAAAAAAAGAAGAAGCATCCATTTAAGATTAAACTGTCTGGACAACTCAGTGGTTTAGGTCTCTGGCTGTAGAGCCACAGGATAAGAGTTCGAACCCCCCTGTGCTTCCCGGGAGAAGAGCCAGCCTGGGTAACCTTGGGCCACCTGTACCGTCCCCAGGGCTACTTCCAGAAGAAGGGAAGCGCAAACTCATGATGACTATTCTCTAACTGGGACAACCCTGAAAAGAGACACCATCTGCCAGAACTGACTTGACGGCATGGGATTGTTATTATTTAAGAATAAGATCTGAGTACAGTGGTGCCTCACTAGACAGTTACCCTGCAAGACCATTTGTTCGCTAGACATTGGCTTTTTGCGATCACTATACCCTGCTTCGCAAACCGATTTTCGCTAGACGATGATTTTGACAGCTTCCTCCACGCTTGCAAAACAGGTGTTTTCGGGACCTAAGCTTCGCAAGAGAGCAATTTAAACAGCTGGTCAGTGGTTCGCAAAGCGGCTTTCCTGTGGCCGATCTTTGCTAGACAATGACGATTCTTCCCCATTGGAACTCATTAAACAGGTTTCAATGCTTTTCGCTAGACAATGATTTCACTAAACAGCGATTTCAGTGGAACGGATTATCATTGTCTAGCGAGGCACCATTGTAAGTGCAAATACTTTTTGACAAACACGATACATATTACGGTTACTGTCAGCTTGAAGAAGGTGAGGGAGGAGTGTGAGGTGTGTGGAGGTCCCTGGGCTGCGGAGGGACGGCAAACCTCCCCTTTCCAAGCGTTTCCCGGAGTCTGCGTGTGTATCTTACTCAGCGTCATGTTCTCCGATGTCAGCTGGTCCTTGGTCTCTTGGAACTCATGGCGGAGCTGAGCTAACTGGGCCTCGAAGGCGTCTTTCTCCGCGTCTTTGGCCTGCTGGAGGTTCTGGTGCTGGGTGGTCAGGTCGGAGATCTCGTCCACCCGCTGGTTGAGCGTCTTCTTCAGGAAGGCCACAATCTCCTTGCTGTCGCTCACCATCTTTTCGTACTCGGCCCGGAAGAGATCCTCGTTCACTTGCAGTTCATCCCATTTCTTTTGGTATCTAAACCCGCCAGAGACAGTGCCGTAGAGGGGTTAGAGGTCTAGTCCCCCATCCCAGGCTTGAAATTCACCCGGTTAACCCTTGGGCAAGACATCGCCCATCTCGGGGCTACCTCGCAAGGTTGTGGTGAAAAGTAAAGCAGGGGGAAGAGGAGAAGGCTACAGATCGCCGGAGCAACGGGGAGATTTATACAAAGGTAGGAAGTCAATAATAAATAAACAAGACACCAACTTAAGAAAAATAAATTCATGCTTTTTCTTAAAAGCATTTTCTGCCGAGTTGGACAATGGCTAGTGACAGTGAATCCCTCTTTCTGCAAACCACCCCAAAACGGCTGCAGTAAGTAAGCCAAGCTACATGGAGAGAGGAAACCGGACCCAACGGTAATGTGCCTTACATTTAAGACACACACACACACATGCGTGTGTGGTAGCAGCGTTCGTCACATCCTTTAATGATGAAAAGCTCAAGAGAACAGAAGATTTTCATGGATTTATCCCTGCTGCCATTGTGACAGACACACCCACCCTGGCTGATTGAATTAAAATCCTTTGAATCGTAAAACTATGTTCTCCCTTGACTCTCACAATCACCCTAAAGCCACAGTTGTAAGGGAGGGCAAAAGGTTTAAGGCTCACGCCTTGACTTAACCTATGCCCATGCTCTTTGGAATGGGAATATGGGTCGTAACAAGACTTACATCCACCTCTTCTACCAAACTTGGACTTGAAAGGCATAAACACACAAATAAAGGGTATTAAATCCACGTTTCCCAGGCGTACATGCTGGAGTCGCAGACAGAATGGATGAGCAGTGCGGGGTGGAACGCTCCTGAACTGGGAGGTGCGCCCAAGTTTTAGGGTTCCAAAGCTTGTAGAAGTTACTTTTGGGGGGATGATGGGGTGCCAAGCTCCCCCACCCACACCCGCCCTGCCCAGCCCAACCTGTTGACCCACCGGGCCAGCCGCCCTTCCAGGTCCCGGATCTGAATCAAGTAAAACTCCCGGCTGTGCTCAGGAACCACGGCTTCGTCTATCTCAGGCTCCTTCGGGGCCTCGTCCTTCTTGCGCCCTGCTTTCTTCTTCGGTGCCATCGTGCCTTTTGCTGGAGGAAGGGGAAGAAACCCCGCAGACGCCTGCAGTGGGAGGGGGGGCGCCCTTCAAGAGCCGGTCCGGTCGCCAGGAGGAAGGAGATGTACATAGCAACAAGAAAACAAGGGCTTTTTTCCCTCTCTCCCTAGAATGCAGCCTTAAAGAGCCAGGCAGACGTTTCTTAAGGCTTGGACCACTTTCCTCCCCTCGTATTCCTTTTGGCTATCTTTAATTTCTTTTCCTTAGAAGGTTTCTCTCCTTTGCTATGGAATCAAGGAAGGGAACAAGGATTAGTTCATGAATAAAGTCGTAATCCCACAATTGCACCACTTAGCAACCAAACACGCCTCTGTTGAAGAAGGAATCTCTGCACATAGACAACGAAAGCCGTTTCTAGCCCCACCTCCTTCCTGAAATACTTATTTTCTATATGCATGGAAGTTCTTGTGTATAAAGGAGCTTCTTAACGTAACGCTCAGTTAAATTGGACAGCACCTATAAAAGGCGGAATGGATCACTTTTTCCAGTTCGGGATACGGCAAGTTTTATAACCTTTAAAATTTGAAGAAAAGGTGGGTGATCACTCTAAATAATGAATTTGAGTAAGAACTTTGAATTCTGCACACGCTTCCCCACCCACTCATGTGGGTCTCCCCTCCTTATCCAATTAAAATGGGAGAAAATATACTTTACAGCTAACTAAAAAGAAACAATGAGAAATAAACATGTATTATCAATTGTGACCGGGTATATTTCCTTTCTTCCCTGGATAGTTCAGTGGTTTATGGATCTGCCAGTGGAGCCATAGTTTGAGAGATCAAATCCCTGCACAGTCCCAGGTCTACCCCCACGTAAAGAGAAGGGGATCCCACTTCTGAGTCTTCTCTGCCTGGAAAATTCCAAAAACGGGTCACCATAAGTCAGAATGCACTTGATGGTACATGAGGAGGATATTTGCTTAAACTTTAAAAAAAAATACCGAATTCTGACCCTCAGAATTTCCAACAGCCTTCTAGACACATCTCCCAACAAGGCTCCTGCATGGTTAGCATCTGACTGACGTTTTAATTCTGCAAGGGGGAGTTTTCTCCAGCAGGGAGACATGGGGTGGAGAAAACAGTGCATCCTGAATTTTTCCTGATTATATGGGGCTCAAAACAGAGATCAGTATTTTGAAAAACAGAAAAGGTATAACCGTCGTTCTGGAGAGTCAAACAGGAACACAGTGACTAAAACATATCCAAATTTAAATAAGAGCTTGTTTAATCTGCAATTTACTTGGTTCATTGCAGTGTGTGCGCATGTGCGTGTGTTTAAAAAAATACAACTTTTGAGTTGAAGAGTCTGTGGGTTTCAGGCAAACGGAAAGAAAACCTGAGATGAACACGTAAGAGAAGGAAAGTCTTATTTTCTCTCCAGCATCGTCTGGAATCAGAGTCTTTAAGAAAAAGCAGTCATCTCCAAGATGGTTTATGGAGGCAAGTAGTGTCTCTTCTTTAGCCCCCTAGAAAATGTAAGGGGAGGAACAGAATACTCCCAACCCTTGTACAAATAACTTATCTGAACTAGCATTTTCAAGAAACTGGAATTGTTGATGGCACAAAGCAGCCTGCATTCGGGCAGTCTGGAGAGAAAGAATTGTCCCAACTTCCTCATAAAAGGGAAGAAGAAGGAAAGAAGTATCCAGAGGGAGTCCCAGTTAAGGCCCTTTCACCGCCATCTTGTCATCGTCCTGGTGAATGAAAATGTTGCTGTGAGAGCAAAAAGCACCTCCATTGTGGTTGACGGAAGGCGGCTCATCCATCCAGGGAGGTTCGACAACGGCAGATCCGGCCTCAGCTGGACAGTCGGACCACAGTTCCCAGTTCAAGCAAATTACAGTGTGTCCTGAGAGAGAAGAAGATTGGGGGGGGGCTGGAGAAGCTCACCCAGAATTTTCCCTTTTCCTCAACTCCATGGGGGTGTAGAAAGAAACCCTAGAAAGGAATGGATGAATTATTCAAACCCAGGGGAGGAAGAGATATTTCCTATACACACATACACGGGGAAGAAAACAGCCAGGTCTTTAAAAGCTGGATTTGCTTTCAAAAATAAGGAAAGACCAGACATTTATTTAAGATATTTTTTTACCCCACCTTTCTCCTTAAAAAGGACCCAAGGCAGCTTATAATCATAAAAAGGACAACATTTAAAAGCTAAAAACAGTAAGTATGCAAATACTTTAAAAGAATTAAACATATATATTAAAAGCGGTCAATAAAATCAATACTAAAAGCACATTGCAAAGCCACAGAGAGAAGTGTTTAGAATCAACCTTCAGCAGTACATCAAAAGCAAAGAATGTACTGGGAAGACAGGGGCAGAGCCGAATGGAGGAAAAGACGCCAGGTTGAGCTTGGCAAGACATTGATCGTCTTTTATATTAGGAAGGCAAGAAGGGAAATCTTCCGAAGCTCCGTTTAGGAAGATCTCCCCTCCAGCCTTTCCCAGCCCACCTTGCAATTTGGGAGTCGGCGAGGCAGCTTTGAGAAAAAGGAGGGAGGTGAAGGGGTTGCAAGGAGAACAATGCTCACACCCAAAAGGTCCCGTTTCGTGGACTGCCTACGGCTCTATGACCCCAGATGTTTTCCAGCCGCTGTTTCTCCAGCCCAACTTACCGGCCAGGCGTTACAACTCATCCCTGGAGGTGGCGTGAAAAGAATGTCCGGAGGTGCTCCCGCCCGAACCCCGCACATCTTTCAGGGTCTTCTGCGAGCCACTCCAGCCCGTCTTGCGCCCGTCGTCGTCCCAGACGGTGGAGGTCTCCGTGTCGCTCATCCACTCAGGGTCCCCGGTGTAGTGGGTCGGGTAGGCCAAGAGGGGGTGCACGGAGAAAGCCCGCAGGTCCCGGGGGTGGAAATGCTTTTTGTAATCCTCACTGGAGGGGGAACGAAAGCAGCCGCGCTTAGCCTCGGACCCACCATGCAGAGAAAGAAAGCAGAGCAGCCAAACGTCCGTCCTAGAGGTTCATCCTTCCACCCCTCACTAGGCAACGGTGGTGTAGTGGTTAGAGTGGGGCAACCCCTTGCCCTCCAGACGTTGCAGGCAGGAACTCCAAGCAACCCACACAAATGGCTGTGCTGGGCAAAGCTAAGGGGAGACGGAGGCCAGCAAAATCTGAAGGGCTGCCAGCTGCCCACCCTCAGCTTGGAACCTGGGAACGCTTGATCCCTCTCTCCCAGCTCAGCCATGAAACAACAACACTGCAAGGACGGTATGGGGAGTCTCCAGCTGATGTTTCATCCCTGTTTGTCAGGGAGGGGGGAAGAGAGAGAGAGAGAGAAGCGAAGAGAAAGGGATCCCGGACAGAGCCAGACGGCTGCCAAAGAAGGCCAGGTGAAGTTCTGGTTTGGAGCGAGAGAGTGCCTGGCTCAGCGCGAAAGTCTCTCAACAGGGCCAAGCCGTTTGGCTCGGATGAGGCCGGCGTCCTGCGAATCTCATTCCCTGAGTGGAAGCCAAGACGCTTGGCGGGAAGGAACGTGCCAGACGAAAAGGCTGCCCCCATCAGGCTCTCTCGCCGGTTCAAGTTTCAGGAAGTCTGGCTACCTTCATCCGGCATCCCTTAACTGGGATAAACTGGGGATTGGTGCCATGTTTCAGGGAAGGGCAGGGAGACACCGGGCAGAAGTCCCTTCTTGTCGGCCGTTCGCTTTGACTTGTTCTGGGTTGTTTTTTTTCCCCTGACTGTGTTTTATTCTATTTCATTGGAAGCTGTCACAGGTCCCGTTCTTGGGGAGAAGGTGGGCTATGAATGGATGGATGGATATCGCACAGATCCAGTCTTTGAAGACAAAGATGTTCCTGCTCTGTCCTAATCTGGATTGTGCCCCCCTCCACTCCATGATTCTAGTCTTAAAAGAGAAGAGGGGGAGAGAATGGGACAGACGACGGCATTTTCAGCGTTCTCTGCAACTTGAAATCACACTGGTTCAATCGTCTGGCGCAAGGGCGCTTTCCAGCGAGAACCACCCAGTCGTCCAAACCCCAGGCCTGTCTCCACTCGCACCCACCCCCCTTCCTCCGGCGCTGCTTCTCCCGGGAGCTTGCTGATTTTTCTTTTCCACAAGTCGATCTGGCAGGAGAGGCAGAAGAGTGAGCTCATACCACCAGATGTTTCTCTAATGAGGCGAAAACGGAGGGGGGGCCTTTCCTTTGCTTACAAGGCTGGCATTCGGCCCAACCACGTCCCGGCGTCATCAGCCATCAGCCTTCGAGACTTCTCAAAACCCCTTTTAAGCTTCCAGTAGAGCTTCGCCTGGAAAGGTTACCTATTCTGGGGAGCTTGACACCCAGAATCCCCAGGCAGGGGACGCTGGGAGCTGTAGTCCAAAGGAAGGAACACTTCTGGCATGGCTCCAGAAGCTGCAAAAAAGTCAGCGACGGGGGTGGGGGGGATGAGGCTACGAGGTTTAAAATCGGCTGGACTTGAAGGGCGCATTCCTGTCGTTTCTGTTCCACCTCTGACTCACGAAGGAGGTCCTCTCCAGGCGGGGATGAGGATGGAAAAAGAGGAACTCACAACGGGAAATCGGGAGAGATTTGGTCAGGCAGGAGGGCCTGACTTTACAAAGCTGTCTCCCTGATCGGGGACACTTTGCTTTTACTTAACAGCTACATTTCTATCGAAAAGCACTCCTTCTCCTTAATCTTCACAACAGCCTCGTGGGGCGGGTCAGGGGGAAAGAGCGATCGGACCACGAAGCTTCGGGGGCTTTTAAAAGGACACCGGGTTTAATTTGGCATTTATGGACCGTGTCCGCCTTCTCTGGATGGGAAGTGGACCATTGCTCACAAAGAATTATGCCATCTAAGACCTCACCCACACATTCAGAAAGAGAGCGATCAACTGGAGAATCAAATCATGTTTGGAATGTTTTAAAAAAGAACTCAAAGTATGAAGGGAGGGACCTAAAACAGCACATTTCATCCTGGGAGTCTGAGTGGCTGGAAATCGAGAGGAGCTCCCAGTTCGGCACCCTGAAAAGGGCCCGGTCCGGCGGCCACGTTTTCCGGCAGATTTCCATTCTTTATCTAAAACCCGGCAAGCCTTTGCACACCAGACAGGAAATGTTGTAGCACAGGGATGGCAAAAGAATCAGGAAATAAGCATGTCATTCCAGGCTAAATTCCAGACTCTGAAGATGGGATATCATAAATACGGCAAGGAATTCGGTCCTGCCAGTGTTTTCTGCAAAATAACCTCATTTACACACACACACACACACACACAACACCAGCTATTCTGACACACAACACACACCCAGCTATACTCACACACACACACACACACACACACACACACACACACACACACACACACACACACACACACACACACACACACAACACCAGCTATTCTGGCTGCAGCCCCAATGATTTCAGGGACTGGTCCTTACTTGGGGTGCTTGTCGTACATGATGGGCAGAAACTCGTCTACCGGCAAGATTTTGGAGAGCGGCTGGGCATCGATCAGTTTCCGAGCTCCCTCCTGTGAAATGACGTAGGCCAGGGTCCAATAGGAATACATGGGGACCACGAGGTTTCTGACGTCTTCTACCCGTTCCTCGACCTCCGAGTCCACTTGTTTCCTGCCCAGGTAGCTGAAAAGGCACAAGGAACCGAGCGGAGGTGAGGTGGCTTCTCTGCCACGCTTCCCCCTTCTTGCTACTGGTATCCATGGGTTTGACACCTACCCTCCTGTCACATGTCTTCCATGTGACAGGACCCCAATGGCTTCTCTGCCACGCTTCCCCCTTCTTGTTACTGGTATCCATGGGTTTGACGCCTACCCTCCTGTCACATCTCCCCACCTCGACCCTCTCCACCCCAAACTAAAACTGCCCGGATCCCTCTGCAGTTGCTCGTTGCAGCTGATTTCCAGACCTTTAACCTCCGAACACATTTCCGCTTTTCGATATCATTTGAAAACGGAGGTGCCCAGAAGAGGACAAAACACGAGGCAGTTTCGCTCGCTTTAGAGTTCATTGCCGATCACTACAGGATCATCAGTACAGCAGAACCTGGGCCCGAACCACCCCTCCTGGCCGATTCTCGCCAACTCACATCAGGTCCCACTCCAGCTGCGCCTCTGCCAGGTCCTCTATCAGCCTCGTGAGCCGCTGCTTGAAATGAGCCTCGAACCTCACGTCGTCCTCCAGCACCACGGACCGTGCCAGTCCCCGCTCGACGATCTGTGGGAAAAGACACCCAGAGGCAGAAAGGGGAAGGCCGCGAGGACGGGCTTTCCGCTCAATCTACGGAAAGCAGAGACGCGCCAGATTCGGCCGTGGCGAGGCATCCACCGTCCCTGATAATGCAGAGTTCTTGCTGGGACACTCAAATGTCCTGGCCTTTTGGAGGAGGGGATATGGTAAAAAAAGTAAGAAATAAATGAACTTCCACCATTTGCTCAGATTTCATGTGTTTGGAAACTACACACAGCATCAAGTCCTGAGAACTTTGCAAGAGCACTCAGAAAGCATCAAATCCAGGGTCTCCTAACTGCACTTCAGATGCGTTTCAGGAGGCCAAGAAGATCAAGGTGTCTATCAGCCTCGTGAGCCGCTGCTTGAAATGAGCCTCGAACCTCACGTCGTCCTCCAGCACCACGGACCGTGCCAGTCCCCGCTCGACGATCTGTGGGAAAAGACACCCAGAGGCAGAAAGGGGAAGGCTGCGAGGATGGGCTTTCCGCTCAATCTACGGAAAGCAGAGACACACCAGATTCGGCCGTGGCGAGGAGGCATCCACCGTCCCTGATAATGCAGAGTTCTTGCTGGGACACTCAAATGTCCTGGCCTTTTGGAGGAGGGGAGATGGTTAAAAAACAACAACATAAGAAATAAACAGACTTCCACCATTTGCTCAGATTTCATGTGTTTGGAAACTGCACACGGCATCAAGTCCTGAGAACTTTGCGAGAGCACTCGGAAAGTAATTCAGATATGTTTCAGGAGGCCAAGAAGATTGAGGTGCATTCATTCAAAACAGGTGTTTTCAGGACCTAAGCTTCGCAAGACAGCAATTTAAACAGCTGATCGGCGGTTCGCAAAACGGCTTTCCTATGGCTGATCTTCGCTAGATGACTATTCTTCCCCATTGGAACGCATTAAACAGGTTTCAATGCATTTCAGTGGAGAAATGCTTTTCACTAGACAATGATTTCGCTAAACAGCGATTTCAGTGGAACAGATTATCATTGTCTAGCGAGGAACCATTGTATCTCTTTACTTGTTGCATCGTATCCTACCTTTCCCCCTGGTCTTGCCGGCTTCCGCAGGGGCTCTTACCTCCTTCCAGATATGGTGGTGGCTAAGGAAGCAGCCCACCTCGCCTTTGGTGAGCGTCCTCCGCGAAAAAGGGTCGTAATAACCCGGGAGAAGGTCCACCCCCAGCTTCTTGATGTCGCTGCTATTCAGGGCGCTGGCAGGAGGAGAGAAGGGGGAGATCAGCAAAGCCACTGCCATCAGCCCCCTCCAAAACAGCTCAAGAATGAAAGACGGAGGGCTCCCCGTATTTGAGCAAGGCTGTTTCGAAACACACACGGCAAGAACTTTCCAAGGCAAGAAAGTAGAGGCTTTCCTCTCCATGACTTCTGCTCAACAGATGGCGTTTTGGTGTAGACTGCCCCTGAAGCTGGAGGTTCCAAACATCTCCATGAGCAAAAGCTTTTTGGTTCTGGAAGTTAATCTCTCAAAAAGAAACTTTTAAAATCTTTGGCTTGCAATCAAAATCCAACCAAACTGAGACTTAAACCCTTGCATTAACAAGGGCAACAGAGCAAAATCTTCCACCAACACCCTCCGAAAAAAGAAATACAGATTTAAGGAACTCAGGGCAAGACACCTCTAACTCTTGTGACCCACCTCCCAAGATCTGCTGCCTGAGGCACTTGCTCCAGAAACCCTGATGAGGGCAACAGCTCTGCTAATCTTGTTTTAAAAAAAAATCAGAACAAAGCAAAACCCAAGCAGCCCCAAGAAAAGATTTTGCTCACCTTCCATCCACGGCGTTCACTACCGTGGGCTCGATTTCCAGCTCCAGGAGAGCGTCCAGCATGCGCCGCCGCCGATCCGGACGCCGCGCCAAGTTGATGAGGAAGATCTAAAAAGCAGAAGTAAAAAGGGCGAGACCGACCAAGAGCTGACCAGCAGATGGTGTTCTTAAGCCCCTCTGGCCGTCAGCAACGCCCCACAAGCTAAATCATAAAAACAGCCAAGCGAAAGTATATAGTAAAGGTAAAGGTTCCCCCTGACATTTAGCCCAGTCGTGTCCGACTCTGGTGCGCATCCCTGTTTCCAAGCCATAGAGCCAGCGTTTGTCCGAAGACAGTTTCCGTGGTCACGTGGCCAGCGGGTCTAGACACGGAACGCCGTGACCTTCCCACTGAGGTCGTGCCTGTTTAACTGCTTGCATTCGCATGCTTTCAAACTGCTAGGTTGGCGGGAGGTGGGACAAGCGACGGGCGCTCCCTCCGTCGCGTGGATTCGGTCTTACGACCGCTTGGTCTTATGACCTTGCAAGCACAGAGGCGTCTGCGGTTTAACCTGCAGCGCCACCATGTCCCGATTAGAAAAGTATATAGAATAATTTAAACGGGCATTAAAATATATAAATACATCAAGAGGCTCTGTACGGATACAATAAAAGGAGTCGCACCAGGTCTGGATAGTATTGCATGGATAATATTGGACCTCCTCGGCTACGCAGGAAGACCAGCCCTGTTTTAGGGAAAGAGAAACCTCTGATGACAAGGAAACAGGCTGTCGGCCACCGGAAGGCCCCAGCGTCCCCCCAGCCTCTTCTGTCCACAGCCCTGGTGCATCGCGCGACTCGCCAACAGACGGGATCTCGAGTCCATCTTACCTCATCGAACCCAATTTTGGTCGGGTGCTTCGGGGGGAGGTAAATGTTCCTGGAGGGGAACATGGGTGGCCCATCCACTGCAAGAGGGACACAAATACACATTTTTGGGTCTGATTTCGATCCACGGCCGAGCCAATTTTTACTCCTGCTTACTGCCATTTTTGAAACAGCAACAACACCGTGATTCTGCTGATTGATTCCTTCTAGTGCCCCATTCCAGCTCCCCCCCCCTCTGTGCATGTTATGAACTATGCCTCTCTCTCTCTCTCATTAAAGTGGCCTGTTTTTGATTTGGCCGGCCTTTGGTTTAACAGGGACAAGCTGTGTGGAGCTCAAAGAATATTTTGGCAGGAATGCAGGCAAAACATGGAAAGAAAGAGCGCCCGGGTTAACATAAGTTCTCATGTAGAATATTTTCTGTCTCAGAAGACATCATCATCATTGTTATTTAATAATGATAATGATAATGATGATAACAACAAAACAAGAACAAGAAGAAGAAGAAGAAGAAGAAGAAGAAGAAGAAGAAGAAGAAGAAGAACAACAACAACAACAACAACAACAACAACAAGAACAAGAACAAGAACAAGAACAAGAACAAGAAGAACAAGAAGAAGAAGTTGAAGTTCATGTCCGCAGGACTGACCCATCGCCTCCAGGATCAGGTGCACAAAGTTAATGCGTTCGTCCTCCAGCGTCTGATGTGACTTCACAGGGACATTGATGTAGCCGAAACGCTCCTGGTTGCACAAATACATCTGGACCCCTGCCCAGGACACAGAAAAGAGCCTTACTGCCAGACACCCCTAATGCTGTTTGCGGGATAAATTATATTTTAAATAAAGGAATTAGAAAAGGCAAACCCTGCCTGGTAAATGCAGCCTTCTTGCCTCTGAATTATCCTGATCGGATCAGGGGGGGGGGGGGCTAGGGTTTTTCTTCCGCTTTGCTATCCAGAATATGGGGTTTTCTTTCGACCACAAGGCTTGGATTTGAAGGCCACCCATTTGAAGCTAAATGGAGCCTCCATGTTGAGGAGCAGTCGCCTGGTAAATGCAGCCTTCTTGCCTCTGAATTCTCCTGATCGGATCGGGTGGGGCCTAGTGTTTCTCTTCCGCTTTGCTATCCAGAAGGCTTGGATTGCCCCAATCAAGGTGAGAAATCAAAGCATTTGAAGCTAAATGGAGCCTCCAAGTTGAGGAGCAGTTTGGCACTAAACACACTGAGGAGAGTAAGGCCCCAGGTTGGAAAGGCTGGCCTTCTCATGGGATCTGTCAGAAATCCTCTTCTGTTGAAGGCCTTTGGACTCTTGAAAGGATGATTTCCCCAAGGTGGGAGATTCGGGGCCCTCTTCTAGATGTTGTCGGACTTTAGCTCACATCATCCTTGGCCCATCACATTGGTTGGGGCCGATGGGACTTGGGAGTCCTATGCTAACCAACCCACTCCATCGGCCCCCTCCTTCGCACCCGGCTCTCACCTGCAGCCTGACAGGCGTAGGCGAAGACAATGATGTCGTCAAACGGCCAGGTGTAGCTGGGGTGGGGGGGATAAAAGGCGAGGCGGGCGGTGTCGGCCTTCCGAAGGTCGATCAAAAAGGCCCCATACACCATGGGGACCGGGAAGCATCCCACGCGCTGGCGGTTCTTCGTAGGGAAGTAATCGGCCGTCCTGCGGTAGTAACCCTGGGGTGGGAGCAAGAGTCGCTTAGGACCCCCGAAGGGTCCTCGCAGAGACGGCGCTGCAACACCAAAACCCTGCGCTGCAACACCAAAAACCCTCCACCGGCGCACACACACTCCCCCGCTTTTCTCCACCTCTCCTCGTGAGCCCTCGTGAACCGTCCCACCACACCTGAGGCGTGATCCCGCACCAGAAGTTCGAGTAGTACGTCTGGGAGTCCAACATGGGCGCAACGACGGATTGGTTCTGGGCCACGAGGAACTTCAAGGTCTGCTCGTTCGTCAGGATGCTGTCCGTGTCGGCAAACTAGGACGATAATCAAGCACGACAATTAGACGGAGGAACGGTGGGAGGTGAGACGAGAGGGAGAGGAGAAAATTGAGACGTTAGCCCTGAGGAGAATTCGTCTGATGGAGGTGTCCTGGAACCTGGTGCTTTCCAGATGTGCCGGACGACAACCCCCAACGTTCCTAGTCAGCACAGCTGGCAGTGCTGGAAATTGCAGCCCAGCGCCTTCAGAAATTGCTTTTCACTTTGAGAATACCCCAGCCAACATAGAGCCGGCAGCCACGCCAACTGAGGAATTCTGGGAAACAATGTTCAAAACTTTCCCAAACTCTGAAACATCTAGAAAGCCTAGGAGAGAAGAAAGCGGGTACAGGAGACGCCTTTGGTTTGGCGTGCTAAGGACACCCTTTAGCGGTGCCTGCATTGCACCAAGCTCCTGCCCCCCCCGCCAAGCCGTTCCCCAACTTCCCACCCGCCCGTTTTCACGCTCACCAAAATGTAGTCGGCCTGTTCCGCTCGGGCAAAGCTCAGCGCCTCCTGTTTAAGCCTCATGACGTGTTCAAAGCGCTCGTTACTCCAGTGCTTGGGCCCAAGTTCGTCAGGATAGGAGCTGCCAGGAGAGGGGAAGGCGTAAGGGCAGGGGTGGGGAACCTCCACCCTCGGGGCAGGATCTGGCCCTCAGGGGTCCCCGGGAGAGCCCGCCTCCTCTTCTTTGGGACACCCGTGGGTGTTTTCTGTTTCCCTCTGCATTTCTCACCATTGTAAAAGGTCAAAGTTCGTTTTCTATAAGGCATGCTTATGGACGATAAGAGCTTTTGCCGTTGTTGTGTTTTTTTGCTAAAATATGCTGGTATTTTTGGCCCTGCCTGTTCTCCCCCCCCCCAAAAAAAAACCACACAGCTAAAATGGGTTTTCCATGACCTCCCCCCCCCCCAAAAAAAAACACACACAGCTAAAATGGGTTTTCCATGAAGCTCAAGCATTTCTTCAAGGATGAAACCCAAAATCTCATGGTGCAGGGAGGGGAGGGACCCTGGCGACATGAACCCATCACCACTGTGTTTCCATTCTGCTTTAGAAAAAAAAGAACATTTCATGAGTATTTACAAAGAAGCCTTCGAAGCCTTACCTGGGCTCTTCCACGGGCCTCCATTCAATGTACCGGTAGTGGCTTTCCATCGCAGTAAGCCATTCATGTAGTATTTCAGTTGTGTTGTCCACATTGTGGTCGGTCGCACACCTGAAAATCCACATGGGAGACAAGAAGTCAGTTTCTACGCCTCATTGTTTCATTTTACCCAGCAACAAAGACAGATTTAGATGAGCAAAGGCCATAGGGATGTAACTTTGAAGACATTATTCTGAAGGCAGCCGATAGATTTGTATGGACATTATAGACAGCTCATCATTAGAAGAAGAAAATCCTTAATAGCTGTTAGAGTCTGAGTATCACTACATGAGCTTTTTTTCACAGTCCACTTTGCAAATCAGCTGATTTTGCTTTATAAGCTTTCTGGTTTCTCAAAAGCAAAAGTCTACCTGGATCACATCTCTCTAACGCTCTCTAAGCCTGAAGCCACGTCCAGCCATGGCTGCTGGTTAGAGTTGGCCATCTTGGGATATGTGGACCAAAGGTCTAACTCTGCTTCCTCTGTTTCTATCCTCTTGCCAGACCACCTCCCGTCATTTGTTCAATGTCTATGCCAAACACTGACAACTTTCATCAGCGCCAGCTAAGAAATCCGCTGCTTAAGTCACTGACATGGGCTCTCCATGGCCAATTCCTTGAAATGACATGTTCATTCTCCAAATGGCTGGCAATCAGGGTTTGGCTACGCTGCCACATTCATCTCTGGACATATTTATAGCTTGTGGCTTGAACGCTGTGTTACCAGAATCTCCCTTAGCTGCCATATCTGCATTTAAGACGGTTGACACACTAACAACAGCTGAGTCTAGTAAAATATTATGAGGATGAGGATCACTTCTAAAAGCTAAGCCTCACGCAGGGACGGCATTCAAGCCGAAGGGAGAACTTTGCTAATTTAAGACGGTTGACACACTAACAACAGCCGAGTCTAGTAAAACATTATGAGGATATCACTTCTAAAAGCTAAGCCAGGGACAGCATTCAAGCTGAGGGGAGAACTTTGCTGCTCTCGAGACCAACTCCCATCAACCCTTAACACCAGCCATCCAGACCAAAACGGATGGGAACTGTAGTCCTGCACTCTCTGGAGACCCATAAGCCATCCAAGCGACCAGCCTCAATGAGAGAAAGCTATGGGGGTGAAACAGCAAACTCCCTCCCTCCTGACTTTGGAGAACTTCTCGGAAGCCCCTGGCCTCGTGGCTAATGATAATGGATTATGGGAGGTGTAGTCCGGGACATTTGGGGAGTCAATGTTCCTCAGCTCTGTCATAAAGAACAGGGGAAAGGAAAGCACACAAAGGTTTGTAGAAGACCTGGGTTTAAGCTTCTCACGTTCCCTGAGCAATAAATGCAAATGTAAATAATAATAATACAGAGGGAGGGAAAGCTGCAAAAGTTAAGAGCCAGCGAGAAGGAAAAAAGGACATCAAAACAAGAAAAGAGGTGTTCATCTATTTACACAGATTTGCCAACAGCTTACACCTGAAGATATATATATATATATATATTTTTGCTTTTTTCTCACCAGTGAAGGAATGTACGGAGAGAGAGCAACTTGGCTGAAAGACTGTCTTCTCTGATTTCCCTGCTTTATTGTTCAACGCCAGTTCCCTCTTTTTATCAGTTTTGTTCCACTTCTAGCAGCTAAAGGTCTTTCCCCCCCTTTTTTTGCGTCACTGTCGTTCCAGTGATATTGACCAGACACCTCATGCATTCCTCTTGAACACGCAAAGGTTTCAAATCGGTGTAGAAAAAATATGCAAACACACAACGTCCACCAGGCAGAACATTAAAACCCAAGGCGGATAGGAGAGGCCCTGAACAGGCTGAACAGAGACAAAGAAAGCTTGCAAGACCAGGCGAAGCTTTCAGCATGCATATAGAAATCAATATTGTTGGGGATCGCTTTTCCCAATGTGGCTCCAGGGCGACTCCACAGCTGGACAGCTGCCCGAACCCAACATCTCCTTTAGCTCCGACAGTGTGGCTGCCACGTCAGATGATAAACCCGTTGCCTACAACATCTCCTTCTTCAGGGCTGTGTTTTCCCCAACAGAAAACTAGCCTGGTTTCTGTGCAGCAGGATTTATACACCCCGGTGCTGTGTGCCCCTGTCTTACAAGATCCTTTGCATGCATGAGCCCAATCTATTGACCACTCAGAGGCCCTGATAGAACAGGCAACAATGCAATGTTTTCCCCAGTAAATTAAAACAAACACACACACACACACATGCTCACACACAACTGGCTATGCAAAATGTATATGTTTCAGTGGGGGTCCCGTGGGGGGGCTCACCCCACCCTGGCGCCCTTTGGCTGCAAGCTGCTGGACTGCAACACCCATCCATCCTTCCCCGGCTCGGTGGCGGCGGTGATGGGATTTGTAGTCTGTGATCTCTGCAGAGTTGGAAGCAAGGAAAAGCTATTCCGACACACTCTTCCGCCACCCCAGAAGTTCTCTTGTGTCCCACTGTCACTCTCTCCCCCCTGCCCCCCCCGGCAATTTCAAATGGGACAAGAACAGCGAATTGGAAAAAAATAACTGGGTGAAAATGACCACCCCGGCATCTGGGTTAAAAAATCAGGAAAGAAGAACAGAGATGGATACACACCAGACTCTAACTTTTAGCACCTAGTTCTCTCACTGTTTCTCTCTCTCTCTCTCACACACACACACATACATAAAAACACACACACTATTTCTTGCTGAAGGGAGACAGCACGGAAGAACAGAGATGGATACACACCAGACTGTAATTCTAGCATCCTAGTTCTCTCACTGTTTCTCTCTCTCTCTCTCACACACACACACATACATAAAAACACACACACTATTTCTTGCTGAAGGGAGACAGCACGAGATTTCTGCACACACACACACACACACACATGCATAAACACACACATACATAAAAACACACACTCTATTTCTTGCTGAACTGAGACAGCACAAGATTTCTGCATTGGTTTAGCAGAGAGAACAGATGCAAAACCGCTTATGCGCTCTCTGTCTTTTTTTAAAAAAAAAAACAAAAATTATACGACCGGAGTAAAGTTTCCTACAAGCTCATAGAAAGGCCCCTATAAAACATGCCTGCAATAGATCAGCATTGGAACGAGAGAGAAAGGGAATCCCTTCGTGTCCAGAGACAGGAGAGAGAGGAGGTGAGAACAAACGCACCAAGACCAGAGGGAGGAACGATGGGTAGGATGACAGGGAAAGTCCTTTATGTATCTGATTTATGCATTCGTTCCCTGTTATATTGCGATTTTCCTTTTATAAGCTCCCATTTGGATCCTCCCGACAAACTTGCGAGGTGGGACAGAGCGAATGAAAGAGATGACTGCTCCAGTGGGGATTTCAACCTGGATCTCCCACATCTCAGCCCCACGGTTGAATCCCAGGCTGTCTGGATGCCGGGCAAGTCTCTGTGCAAAAGGGCGGCTCTTCTTCTCCTGTTCTCAGGAAGAGTGCAGTGTGACTCAAAAGCTTACTCTGCTGTCACAGTCACACAATCAGTTTACGAAGAACTGGAAGCCGGGCCATTTGGAAGATGTCTGTTCATCTCCCGGGAATAAAGCGAGGGTAACAATAAACCAGGTTTGCTTTCCGCAGAACCCAGCATTAAGACGATGTGAGATCTTATACATACAGGAGAACATTTAAGATTTCCTCCATAACCAGCCCTACTGTTAGGAACATCGCAATGGCCATAGGAGGCAGCAGATATTGGGAGACCGCTGTATGGTGTTGGAGAAATTGTTGCGGGCCAGCCCTGTGACCACTAGGCTAGCCGGCTGCCTTCAGGTGAGGGGTCACCTGCTGACCCTCCTCTAGGATTGAAAAAAATGACAATGGCCCATCCAATTTTTTTTGCATAGAGGGCGAGAGAGGCAAAACTCTGTTCTTTACCTCCAGCTGCAGAATGTCTTAGGATGGCTCTGGGGAGGGGGGTCTCTGTTCAAAAGCAAAACAGAGGGAGGGGGGCAAATAGCAATGGTCAGCGGCCTCGTTCTAGATTCCCGCTCCCCACAAATATCATTTGAAGGGAAGCTTCTTAAACTTCTTAAAAGGCCGAGGGGTCAGCTTCTCCTAAATCCATGCTCACGGGCTGGCCTTCTTCCTCTCGATTCTACTCTTGCTTTCTGCAATTCGGGAAGATCCGGGCAATCTGCCCCTGGCCAACCTCGCAGGGAGATCGCCGACAAATCGAACGAAAGCAAAAAGCCCTGGAAGGCCACGTTCAACTCCGAGCCTCTCTCCGCATCCTCTTTTCCAGGTTGGCTGACCTTGCACCAGAAAACTGTGGAAGCCTCAACACTCACCCCACATCACACACACATTCTCCGGTCTATGGACAGGAGCCCCCCCTTCTCCTCCAATGCCCCAGAAGGGGCAACAAGGTGACCCCACCGCCCCCAGAGGGTCTCTCTCTCTCTCTCTTCCCTCGGAAACTCCATCCTAGAACAGCTGGGTAAACAGCTGGAGAAAGGAAGGTCCCGGGAAGATGCACAGGAAGAAAAATCCACCCACCCCACATGGTAATAAATAGGTTTCCAGCTCTCGATTCAAGCAGGCAGAGGCCTCCCTCAAAACAGCACCCCCCCAAAAAAAAAAATAAATCCAGCCATGCAAAACACAGGGCGGACGAGATCTCCCTTTTGCAAAGCACTCCGGAGTCAGCCCGACTGTTGCCTTTGGGCGAAGCCTGGGGAAGGGGACCCCCAAACTCCGCTGTGCCCCCCCATGCGATGCGCCTCCCCGCCCGCGCGCGATCCCGACTGACCAGATGGAGATGCGCTCCTTGGGGTACTCCAGGCGCTCCAGCGCCCCCAGGAAGTGGGGCAGCGAATGCTGGGCGTTGCGGGCCAGGATGGCGATGGCCACGGTGGGGGGGTCGGCCCCCCCGCCGGCCTCCTCCCCTCGGGGCGAGGGGGAGACCCCCAAACCCGAAGGGGAGAGGAAGAGGAGGAGAAGGGAGGGGAGG